AACATCAATAGTACTCTCATTGTGAACACCCCAAAACCCCAAAACCCCAAAACCCCTGCTTTGGAATGATCTGGAAAATATGAGTGCAAAATAATACAGAGAAAATCCTAGCAAATAAAAATAACACCTTACCAGTTAGTAAATTTGGATAAAAACAGCTTCTTTCTATTATTTTAGATTTATGAGAAGTTGAATTATTTTATATACATCTCAATGAAGGGCAAACCCTCCCACACTCAAGTTAATGGCTAGAAAATGATATTTAATCAGTTTTTCACTCACTAAGTCATTTTGAACTAGATATAGTGGGATTTATCATAAGTGAGTGAAAAAAGTCTTTATCATTTTAGCCATTCTAATATCAATCTAATTCGGGGCCAAACTAATTATATCGCAGTCTAAAGAGATCGAGATATAAATACTCAGACTTTTTCAGCCTTAAGTTTCATTTTATCAACATTTATTGGGTCACAAATTTCTTGCTTTTTTAATTCTTTTCTTGCAGAATTGGTTAATTTTTTGCTCAAATATATTTTAGCAAGGAATAATGGCGGAAAATCGTTTATAGTCAGGAATTTCTCATTTTATAATGAAACTTGCTATTTATGACTGTGCTATTACTAGATAGCTAGCATTTTAATCAATTCTTTGGTTTATTTGTTTTAATTTTAACGATTACTGGCTTGAAATTTACTTTGACATTAGGTATATCGCCTAGTTTTCTTATTTACGAAAGTTCTAATCTGCAATTATTGATTCTATTTTGAGAAATTTCAGAGAAATAAACACGCCGAATCGAGAGCTTAAGTTACAGTTATTTTACAATTTTGACATTTTCCAAAGTTTTGGCGTCACGTTACCCTCTTTATTGCTACTCCACCCTATAAAATATATTAATAAATATTAATTACTTTTTCAAAGAGTACGTATTTTTTTCTCGGTTAGTTAATGATAATTAGTTATAATCTCTTGCCTCACGATGAACCTAATGCTCTACGAAGAATGGACTACTTCACCTTCTCAAGCAGACGGTACGTGTTCTTAATTCATATTCTTATTATTCGTTGTGCGTTCTCAAACTGGTCTTACTAGGGCTCAGCGAGGCAGAGGAACGCAGGCAACTGGAAGAAATCTACGCTATTATAGTCGAACTCACTAAATTACTGAGCAGAGACCAATTTATTGCGTCTTCAGCGATGGTCATTATTCACAAATATTTCAAACTATAATCTCTTGTTAATGTTTCATCTCCGCCCCTCTTCATCGCAACCTCGAGCGTATTCATCTCAGCCAAGGTCCTTTACATGCCGGTTACTCTGGAGAAGGCGGTGCAAGCTTTGTTTCACATAGAAAAGCGTCAAAACCGAACCTCCATGATGAAGGCTTCGCTCACAAAGGACCGAGAAAAACATTACAGGGATATGCTCGAAAGAATAGAATTTGAAATTCTATAGATGATTGGATTTGATTCCGAACATGAGTTACCATATAAGCATCTGCGCAGTTTTTGCGAGAAGCATGTGCCCGTTGCTTCGAGAGCATCACTGCACAGCACTGCTTTCAGATTTTGTAATGACTCATTCAAATTGCCCGCGTGCCTCTACTTCCACCCAAAAATTATTGCGGCTGCTTGTATCTAAATGGCAGCTAAATGGCGAATGAACAATGGATTGGAAGCAGGAATGGAATTGCGAATACAAGGCCATCCATGGTTCAAATGGATTGATTCCGCCATAGAATAGGCCCAAATTACCGAGGTAATAACTTATCTTCGTGTATTGTACCAAAAATAACCAGAAACCAAGAAGCCGACCCAAGAAAATGTATAAATATCTTCAACTGTGTAAATACTTTTTTCATTATAATCAAATGTGTTACTTTAAGGCCCTTGAAATTATTCGATTTCTTATCTCCTACTATTATAAAGTAATTAATAATTATATATACCAGCGAATCCTCATTTGTGAAAATCATGAATGAAGGGGTTTTGGGGTTTTGGGGTTTTGGGGTTTTGGGGTTTTGGGGTTTTGGG